ATTATTTTCTACAAGGCAGGAAAGATCGAAAATTCACATATCGTGATCTGATCACATTCGGCATATTTTATGCACCATATTTCCATGAAATCATACAAATTTGGCACTGGCTACGATTACTCGCAAAAAGTAACAATAAGAAATAATTATTGTTACTTCCGAGACTAATTGCCGAAATGTATTTCCGAACAGGGACCCAATTTCATACAGAAATTGCAGGTAACAAGAACACATTTTGTATTGTTACCTGCAGTTATTGTTACCCGCAACATATAATCAGGCAGGCACTTATCTTTAAATAAATGTGGATAGTGTCCACATGTGGACACAGATGATGCCCCCGCTTGCATATCATATAGTTATAAAGAGACATAACTGAAGAACGGTAAAAGTGACGCTACCCAAATTTGAACTTGATCTGAGTTTTGTGGTAATAAGCATTGTGTGTAAGTCTCATAACGTTTGTCGCCACATTTGGTTGAGGCTAACTTAAGTAGAGAACAGAAGCTAAAAATTCAGCAATTTTTCTATTTGTAAACACGCATAACTCCAGAACGGTTGTGTATAAGTTTTATAACATTTGGTTAGAGAACGGAAACGAAAAATTCAGCAATTTTTTTGTTTTTATGTTTATAAAGGGACATAACTCAAGAATGGTAAAAGTGTCGCCACCAACATGATTTCGTACTTAATCTGTATTATGGAGTAATAAGCATTGTGTATAGGTTTCATAATGTTTGGTTGGGGCAAACTTAAGTTACAGAATGGAAACTACAAATTTTGCAATCTTTCGATTTATAAAGGGGCATAACTCAATAATGGTTAAAGTGACACTACCCAAATTCAACTTGATCTGTGTTTTATTAGTGGAAGTCAAAATTAAACATTGCATTGTATAAAGCATTGATTGTAGTTGATTCTTCAACTATAATCATGGACAAAGGAAGATAACTCCAATTTTAAAAATTACTTGATATTTAGAAGAAAATAAAAATTTTGCAATTTTTCCATTTATAAAGGGGCATAACTCTAGAACGGTTAAAGTGACGCTACCCAAATTCAAACTTGATCTGTGTTTTGTGATAATAAGCATTGTGTATAAGTTTCATAACATTTGGTTGAGGCAAACTTAAGTTAGAGAACGGAAACTAAAAAATTTGCAATTTTTCCATTTATAAAGGGACATAACTCTAGAACGGTTTAAGTGACGCCACCAAAATTCAAAATTTATCTGTGTTTTGTTGTACTAAGCATTGTGTATACGTTTCATAACATTTGGTTGAGGCAAACTCAAGTTAGAGAACGGAAACCAATTACTAAAAAGACTTAATTTGCAAATGTAAAATTTTGCAGGTAACAATAACTGCAGGTAACAATAAAAAATGATAATATTGTTACCTGCAATTTCCGTATGAAAAGGGGTCCCTGTCCCGGAAATACATTTCGGCAGATATATGTCTCTGATTTAGGCAATTAGTATCGGAAGTAACAATAATTATTTCTTATTGTTACTTTTTGCGGGTAATCGTAGCCAGGGCCTACTAATTATGGCATGTACACACTATACTTATATATGGCAAAAATATCTCAAACACAATTTTACAATTGCCGATCGCCCACAAGACTAGAAGGACACCGGATTTTATTATAATCTATCATTAATACACATACTAATTTTATGCAAATAATATCTATATACATATAAACAATATTCAAGCTTTCAATACGAATTGAAAAAAAATTACTCTGTCATAAACGAACCCGCCGGCCAGGAAAAACCAACAACCAAGTTACCTTAGTCGATATGGAAACCTGTGTCCAAACCCTAATGCTCGGAAGATCGTCTCGAGAGGTGTACATTGGACAGTACTGAAAATTGGCTTATGTTTACATAAACAAAATACAACAAAATGTATACTGTTAAGCAATATACCTATATATAGTACAAAATAAGAAAGAATCAAACAATAATGAACCAACATTATATCTGAACTTGACCAGTTCGAAGTTGGCGAGAGAATGGTCTAATTGGGAAATTAACCCGCGAAAAATGACCACTCACGTGATACTACAATTAATATCACGTGTCCATACATATATATGAAAGAACCGTTAGTACAATAATTTTCTTCTATACTTCGAAACGCAGAAAATTATAAGTACACACTATACTTATATATGGCAAAAATATCTCAAACACAATTTTACAATTGCCGATCGCCCACAAGACTAGAGAACTCAAAGAAAGGGCTGAAACGAAAAAATGTTATGTCTATAAACCTAAATTCTTAGAAACTGAAATTCTATTATCAAACGAATCTGCAATGTATCCGTCTTTACTTAAATCAGATTTCCAACGCCCATGCCTCTTTATACATCTCTCATTAACATCTGACTTAGCTGCAGCCGAAGCACCACCTGAACGTAATGAGTGTAAACCTAAGTTAAGCTGAGGAGCAACCATTTTTAACCTTTTAACGATATTTTGCCTGGCCGCTGTATAACTAAGTTTCTTATTCTTATAAATTAACTTAGCTGTACCACCCGATCTAAACATGGGTCTGAAAACAAAATGATCAGAATGAACGTCCAAACCAGATAAACCCAAATAACGCTTATACATCAGAAGGGGACATGCTTGAGAACTCCCTTTAGAAATCAAAATTTCGTTGCCTTGTCTATATTGATCAGTTTTGCTATGTGACAAAAAAATAGACATGTATTCATCATATATCTTAATGTCCTTACAAGTTAATGAACTTAATTCGTCAAAACGTAAAAAACCTGCATAAGCTATAAGTATCATAGCCAAATCCCTAATCACTAATAAGTCACTAGAATCCTGATATATAGTACATAGTTCTATAAGCATAATGTTGTCAACTGGATCTTTTTTCACGACTGGTTTACCGTTCAGCCTTTTGCAAGATTCTAATAGAAATGTAATGAATGAATTGCTTGTAGGGTCTATGTAACCGTTTAATTCGTGAGCCCATTTTATAGAATAAATTGCGGACTGCAATACACTTGGTGAAGAATGTTTATCAATAAGAAATGTTAAATATAACGCTACATGTACAGGTTCGGCTGGTAAATCAGAAAAACCATGTTCAGTAATGAATGACTTCCAACGATTAAAGCCGGCGAAGTACTTCTTTGACGTATTTTCACTTTTCGAATCAACTATATACAAAGCCATCTTTCCTGCCAAAGATCTCAACACATTGTTTTCTCCAACACCACTGCTCACAACGGCATTCTCAACGTTCTGTCTCAGTTTTAAACCTAAAAAACGCAAAAATCCTTATTAAAATTTGATAACTAAAGCAATCATGCTAAATCTTAGAGGATTTTCACCAAAAATCCCATTTTTTCCGGTACCCCTTACTATAATGTTGTCTCTAGGCAAATAAATAACCTCTTGTATAAAATCTCTAAATCCGCCGTCTTTATATAAAAGTGGCCAATAAGGAGCAGATTTCCATTCGGGAATAACCAACATGCATTTGGCCTTGTCCTTAATGATCTTGTTTATTGTCATGGCAACTAATGATGGAGGTGGCACTAACCAATTAGTATCACCTCCCCAAAATTGACTGAAAGCGTTTATTGCCTCAGTACCTGGGCACCAAATTCTCGAATTAAAACGAGAGGTCTGTGCATTGTAATGAGTAGAAAATCTGTCAATAGTAAAAGGACCAAATTTACAACTAAGATCATGGAAAACATTCCTTTCAATACTCCAATCATCGGGATCAGTGTGTCTACTTAAAAAATCGGCATGCTTATTCTCAGTTCTCGGTACCCAATTGGTTTGTAAACCTATACTCTTCTTCGAGCAAGATTTATGAATATCTGTTACAACCTTCTGTAATTTGTAATTTTTGCTACCAACATTCAATATATGTGTCACATTCTTATTATCAGAATTTACTTTAACTGTTCTGTTTTCAAGGAATGAATCATATGTGTTCAAAACTCTTCTTACCGTCTCTAATTCACGCCAGGTAGAACTTTCAAATTGTTCACCCGCAAACCAATTTCCATAAATCTCATGATTTTCACTCTGAAAATCCAAAACTGTGGAGAAATATCCACCAAAGCCTACATCTGAGGCATCACAAAATAACTCAATATCATAAATGTCAGTTAAATTAACCGAACAAATATCAACACCTACAAGATTAAGTGTTCTGCAAGAGTTTTTCCAAAAACCAAGCTCATCAATAGCCTCTACTGTTATTTTAACAGGTGCGTTCCAACTAGCACGCGCTTGAACACAATCATATAAAAATCTTGTGTTCAGTCTTACAATATCACCCAAGACGATTTGCATTGAAATCAGCTGACCAATAATACTAGCCAATGTTCGAGCACTGAACAAAAGTACCCCTTTACCAATATCGCTTAAAATACGATTCGCAGCTTTTTCTGCTTTGTCAATTCTCTCATCACTCACACAGATTTTTCCTATCTTTGTGTTCCAAATATAACCTAACCATTTCACATACTGTGAAGGGAACCAGCTACATTTTTCATGTGCAATCAAAAATCCAAGAACTTCCAATTTTTGTTTTACCTCTTGACTAGTTTTAAGACACGAGCTCAAATCTCGATCACCACCTAAACCATCATCCAGAAACATGATGATCCTTTTGCCTTCAGATCTCAAATGTTTGACCAGTTCTCGTAGTATTTTTGAAAAAATATACCCAGCCGTAGCTAAACCAAAAGGCAGTACATTAAAAACAAAGTATCTAACTTTGCCTTCAAAATCCCATGAAAATCCTAAAAAACTTCTATGTATTTGACAAATCTCAATATGATGATAAGCCGACTTAAGATCAAAAGAAAACAGAAAATCATCTTTCTGAAACATTTCTCGGGCTATTTTTGTATCTTCATACTTAAATCTGAATTTGAACAAATGAATGTTTATATGTCTACAATCTAGTACAAGTCTAGGTTTGCTCGATTTGTTGTATGCGACCGTTAAAGGGTTAACTACCTGTGGAACCTGTTGTACCTCAGAAATACATTTTTTCTGTAAAAGATTGCCGATCTCATCTTGAACAAATATCTTATTGTTTAATGACGATCTGTTGTTTTTAATTACAGCGTGTTGAGGCTCGGTTTTGAATGGTATTTTATAACCGTTTTCAATAACGTCAATAATGTGTTTGTTTTCGGTAATCAATTTCCATTGACCTATATTGACCTTGAGTCTACCAACTGGCGAGACGCATTCATGCTGAACGGTTGTATTCGTATCAATACACATTTTCGTCTGAGCATTTTTAACAGTATTCACTTCTGTAACAAGATTATTACTTGAAGTATTGGCTACAGGCACAAAGTGACCTTGTATTACATTAATGTTATCAAAAACTAAAATTTGTGAATAAGAATTACTTATCTTATTTTTCATATCTGGACATTCGTCTATCCAATGACCCTTATTTCCACACTTGAAACATCTTCCAGGCTTAACCGATTTGGTTTCTTTCTCTGGGTTCCTGCTATAAGGTGTTGGTCTTGGTTTGCCTTTCTTTACTTTTTCTGCCTTACTCTTTCTTTCCGCTCTAGACTGAGCCCTCATCATTTTCTTTTCGTCTTCTGAGTCGTCAGCGATAGGATTAGCTACGTACTCACTGACGACTTTCCATCCAAGTTGGGAAGAGTCGGCCAGTTTTATAAGTTTTTGCCTTTCACGCACTAAGTCAATACCTTCAATAATCTTCATCTTTGCTATCTGCACAGAATCAATTCCCAATTCTGGAGCCTCCAGGTTAGCTTTAGCTTCCTTCAGCTTGGTTAACACTTTCACCTCATGACGATACTGGTTTTCGTTTCCTTTACGCTGAAAACTATAATTGTCAGTCATTGTTTCTTCAAGCTTGGCTATCTGAGTTTGGGAAATCTCCTGCTGTGACTGTTGCAGATTTGACTGGAAAGATGTAAGCCTACTATCCATCACTGTAGTTATGCTGTTTAGAAGATCTTGCTGTGAAGAGGAAACTGCATTTTTCACCTCGCGTAGAATTACTGCCTTAATTGAATCATCTAACTCGGTGTCCATCTTGACCAGTTCGAAGTTGGCGAGAGAATGGTCTAATTGGGAAATTAACCCGCGAAAAATGACCACTCACGTGATACTACAATTAATATCACGTGTCCATACATATATATGAAAGAACCGTTAGTACAATAATTTTCTTCTATACTTCGAAACGCAGAAAATTATAAGTATCAACTCAAAATACTTACCTTTTCTTTTCTGATGATGGTTTGTATGTACAATCACTCAGTTTTAAAGTCATGTGAAATTTCAAATTTAAAAAAAAAGTTCAATATGTTTTATATACTTGATGGCTAAGTTTTACTATAAAACAAGTGTACGTGAACTTTCTTGTAGAAGATAATCCTTTATATCATCAAAATCTTCATAAATGTACTGCTATTGAATTGTTGTCTTCCCGTACACTAATTCGACGATATTTTGCCGTATGCCGTGACCTTAACTTCGAGACATCTCGCTAGAACTTCGGCCACCGCACATTGCAAGTGCGAGGAGAAGACGGTGATTTAACCGTGATGAAAAAATGTCAACAAACGTGCACTGGAAGGTAAATAGTAATAACTGATTCTGAATGAACAAATTTAATACAACAAATTATTTTACAACTGTTATGGAAAAGGAAAGCATGGAAAATATGAAAAATCAATATCATAGCTATATCAATTCACTTATTTGACACGAGCTCCACATGCTCTGTGCCGATTGTTTATCAATGTCGGTAAACTTCGGCAACGAACTCGAGAGTTATTAAGCTTGCGATCAACAATCACTGAAAGAAATATAAGTTGTCAATAATACGTTATAAATTCGTAAAAAAAAAAAAAAAAAAGCATGCACACATGACTTACTTTAGTATATATACATGTATTGGTCCGAGTACACAGTTATTTCGTAGTGCATTTCTTTTAGACAATAAATGAAAATAAAAAAAATCCCACCTGCGCTTTCTCAATAATATTTTTACAGTGTGTTGTACTACTTTTGGGACAAATCATATCAAAATTATAGAAAACTTCATCGGCTCTAACTCAAAATATGGACAATTCTATGTTAAGGGGGTCTTGAAATCTTTTGACAGCTTCTGAAGTGCTAATTTTTAACCTTTTTCAGCTGGACCAAATCACTACTTAACTTTACAATTCATGACCCAAATTTTTTTACAGTGTAATTTCATCCCCCTACTTGCTATTTGAGGCATAAAACATGAAGGAATACATTTGGAAGGGGTACTAAAAAAATTGGCAAGCAACACACTGTCCACACTAGGGACTTTATTCGTGGACAACGAAAATCAAAGGATGATAACTGTGTACTCGGACCTAATAGGATAGAAAAATTTGACCAATCTTAATAAAACTTAGTATGACTAAAGCTTAATAAATTATGAGACTGCTGACAAAGTTTCATGGCAATAGGATATATATTATAGACAATATGATAAATTCTATATTCAACTTCGCGTGTTAAATTTTGACGTTTAAATTGAAAAATTTCAACTATCAACATTTGGGGCTTTAAAAATCAAAATATTGCAAAAAATTACATTTTAAAGGCCTTAATATATGACATATTATCTATTTAAAGCAATAGAATACTCATTTGATTAATCAGACTTATCACAATTATTTAAAAGTCAAATTTACATGAGCCTGTGCCAAAAAATGGAGGTTTTCCAATGAAGGGGGGCCTTACATGAAGATGTATTATTTTCCAGCAATTTTAAATTTGTGGAGTTTTTTGGTTATAAATAATCCTTACATATGTATTAAATGTACTTTAAGTGGAAAGAAAAATTACAAATAGCATACCATATTAGTATAAAAGGGTCTTAAGCCAAGTAAGACTGAAAATAATTTAGGGTCAATTTAGGCCGTAGCACATATTTACATTTAAAAATGCATACTGAAGCTATAGGAAATAAAAATTTGTGTCTTTTTTATAATTTCTATACTCAGGTTACACGATACAATAAATCTGAGCATAAAAGGACTCTTGCATTCAACTTTTTTTGCAGACAGTATGGTCTGATACAAAGATTTTTCACTTTTTAGTGAAAAACTTGCATGCAATTTTAGCCTCAGCAGGCTTATATTTGAACCACTTGCTATTTAACATAAGAAAAGAAAGATACTATGTGAAATGAAACAGGTACAAAAGACATTGTGAAGTGCTTTTAATACAAATTTAGTGAAATCTTTATTATGGACTTCAACTTTTATGTACCTAGGTCCTCACATTTAACTTGATCCAAACAGGCCGTTACACGAGGGTCATTTATACAACACATTTTGCACATATTGTCTGAGATAATCTTATTTTCTGTAGATTCAGAGTTCACAAATGAGTAATACAACTGGGTTAAAGCATAGAAACACAAATATTGACACAGGAAAACCTGTCACATAGAAAGTCAGAATGCCACTTATGCATCAAAATTGAAAAAGCTTTGAAATGCTTATTTTGACCATATAATGCCAAAATGGATAATTTTTGCAGAATTTCTATCAAATAAAAGTTTAAATCCTTTAGTTTCATTCTATTTGACAAATTGACACCATTAAATCATTCAGGGAAGTTGCCAAAGTACAGATTCTATATTTACTGATTTCGCCTCTTAGGTCCGAGTACACAGTTATTTCGTAGTGCATTTCTTTTAGACAATAAATGAAAATAAAAAAAATCCCACCTGCGCTTTCTCAATAATATTTTTACAGTGTGTTGTACTACTTTTGGGACAAATCATATCAAAATTATAGAAAACTTCATCGGCTCTAACTCAAAATATGGACAATTCTATGTTAAGGGGGTCTTGAAATCTTTTGACAGCTTCTGAAGTGCTAATTTTTAACCTTTTTCAGCTGGACCAAATCACTACTTAACTTTACAATTCATGACCCAAATTTTTTTACAGTGTAATTTCATCCCCCTACTTGCTATTTGAGGCATAAAACATGAAGGAATACATTTGGAAGGGGTACTAAAAAAATTGGCAAGCAACACACTGTCCACACTAGGGACTTTATTCGGACAACGAAAATCAAAGGACGATAACTGTGTACTCGGACCTATTGGTTCAATTATTTCGTTAACATCAAAATTACAAAAAAAAAACTAGTTTAATATGACTTTAATCCTTGGAAGCTTTAATTTCGTCAATCAATTACTGATAACCGGATTGACGTCATTCGCACGAGAGCTGTATAACTCCAAATGCAAGGAATGAAATAATTAAGTCCAAGAGTTCAAATGGTTTCCGTTTTCCTTCTAAATTTTGGCGGCTTTAAACATCTTTGGATTTTTCGAACTTTATGCATTTGTGTATTCAGCTCGTGCCAATGACGTCAACCATATCATATTAGAGAATATTTACAATAAACAATCAAAGTGCTTGTGAGTACTGAAGGGTAAAGATTGCTTTCATTTTGCAATTTTGTGAATTTTCAAACAAAACAGTGAATTGTATTTTGCTATGCAAATTAAAATAAAATGTTTCGCTGAGCGCAGCCTGATACGACCGCAGTAGTCGAACCCTGAACAGTTGGGGCAAATTTGGACACAATATTCAAGCTTGATACTATCTGAATTTGGATTGTGAGCAAATTTTTGACATAATATAGGTTTCTGACACAAAATAAATGTGGTCAAAGATCTTACAAATCTAATGCGCAATACTACATGCAATTGAAGATTTCTTCTTGAAACTTTTAAAAAATTTGAAATTTTGATAATTTTGAAAAAAAAAAATGAATCCTATAAAAAAAAATTGGACCCCCCCCCCTTTCCCCCAAACTTTTTGAAATCCTTTTTAGCATTAACCATCAAACTCAATTGCAGTCTTTCCTTTGTAGTATGGAACCTTGTAGTACAATTTTAGAGAGATCCATACACTCAATCACAAGTTACTGTCTGGAAACTAGAAAAATGCTTTTTTTAAACCATAAAAGCCCATTTAAATACATCATAAAAGTATTAAAATAGAAAATGACATCATAGTCATGGCTAAAATTAAAAAAATCTTCATCAGCAACTTTTAATAGTAGTATCTAAAAATAAAATTCCTTCATCAGCATTAAAAAGTAACTTCTAAAAATAAATTGACAGCTAGGACTTTGCAACCATAAAAACCCATTTAAATACACCATAAAAGTATTAAAATAGAAAATGACATCATAATCCTGCCTAAAATGAAAACACTTTCACCAGCAAAATTAAATAGTAATATCTAAAAATAAACATAATCATGGCTAAAATTAAATAATTTTTTTAAATAGAAAATGACATCATAATCATGCCTAAAATTAAAAAGCCTCCATCAGCAACATCAAAAAGTAATATCTAAAAAGAAAATTCCTTCATATACATAATCATGGCTATAATTAAATTACCTTTATTAAACATTTTTAAAATAGTAACTTCTAAAAATAAATTGACAGCTGCTAATCACCTAAAGACAATACATTTCTTTATAAATAATTTACATGCAGTCTTCGAATTACCACCCTTACACTGCTTTAAAATTATGTTTGTACTTAAGTAATTGTCCATTAACCTGGAAATCCTTGTTTTCCCCCCCTTTTTTGTCCCTAATTCCTAAACAGTTTGAACCATAACCCCCAAAGCAAATTCTTACCATCCCTTTTTGATATGGTAACTTGTGGTATAATTTCAGAGAGATCCATACACCATTTCACAAGTTATTGTCTGGAAACTAGAAAAAATGCTTATTTGGGACCCATTTTGGCCCCTAATTCCTGAACTGTAAGGATTATATCCCCCAAAATCAATCCCAACCTTCCTTTTGTGGTCATAAACCTTATGGTAAAATTTCATAGAAATCCATACACTTAAACAAGTTATTGTCCGGAAACCAATGTGTCTTCGGAAGACGACAACGACGACGACGTGATACCAATATACGACCGCAAAATTTTTGCGGTCGTATGAAAATTGAGTTGAGTTATCTTCCTTTGATCATGATTGTACATTTGATGATGGAAGAAGTGTTTAACGACCTTGACTGGCTATACAGCCCTCGCACGGTCGGCTCGTGCCCGGAGGCGATTGTTGAGCATTTAAATATTTTCTGCAGTTGGTCAGGAACAGGTTGAAGGGGTCTCACTAATTAGCGACAAGAAGCGTCAAGAAGCGACAAGAAGCGACAAGAA